TGCCTTATAGAGGGGTTATGGTTATTAAAGAGACAAACTAAGAATTTTATCCATTCCCAACAGAGATATTTAGTTTCACTGGGTTCAGAACCAACTAATTTACATCGTCTCTGGGAAGTACTGGTTGCTTTATTTTAGTAAATATGGTAGAATGCTTTGAAAGCCAAAAATTGATCAATTTTCCCAGATAGCTACACTTTATCCTTCCTGCAATAGTTCGAAGTGAAAGTTGAGTGGTCTGGACAAATAACTTAACCACCACTTTTATGTGAAAAAATGAAGTTAAGGCCAAGGTAAATTACTAACCTTTGGAGACTAGGATTTGGGATATTTATATTTGAGAACCCTTATGGACACTTGAGATATCCAAAAATGACAATGAAAAGGAAATTCACTTAGGGCAAGCTGAAGGTCTCTTCAGATTTTCAAAAAGTAACATGAGGAAGAACTAGCAGAACAACCATGTCCAAGAGCACTAATGAAGACTGTTCACTCAGAGGACATGCCACTTACAACCCTAGGAACTGTTTAAAGAGAAAAGCAGGCATATGCAAACTAAGTTGCTGTTGTCCTATATCATGCAGAGGAAAACTACTCATTAACAATGCAGCTATTAACTGCCATTATTAATGGGTAGTTTTAAACAGAAACAGACCTTCATCTCTGTGATGCTTAATGTGGTACTCTTGGCATTTGGGATGGTTAAGTCTCCTTTGTGCAGGGACAACAACTGGCTCTTTTTAGGATGTGTAACATCTCAAGAGCCCCCTCATATGTTGGTAGACTCTCCCCATTATTGAGATAGTAACTTCACTGCCCTCTGCCAAACTTACATATCCAAATGCCCCCTAGTGGTGGGTGGATCCAGTCCAAGTCAGAAACTACCACTGGAAAACCAATCAACTAGTTATAGAGGATAATCTGAATTGCAATATACGGATACAGAAAAATGCTCACTTTCATGAAGAGGAACAAGTATGTCAGGGTAAGTAGAGAACACCGTCTCATTTTTGTCCAGAACAACACAGAAAGGCACTCCTCTATACATAGATACCTGAACACATACCCAAAAAGGTTGGAAAACAATTTTCTTCTTTGGTAGAAATGAGTGGTTTCATCTTTTCTTTTTTGAAAGAATGATTTTTCCCTTTATAAAAGGGGAACAAATGATTTCTAATTTGGAGAATAAACAAGTGACGCATTCATAGCAAACTCCTCCTGCCACTCCAATTCTTGTTTTGACTTAGTGACAATGGCAGGTCTGCCTCAGTGAGAACTAGCCCCGACTCAAGTAGCATGGATTACCACCTTCTAACTCTGTTGAGCCCTTGACCATGTTACAAGGCAGCACTACTATGCAGGATCCAGAGGATGGGAGGTGTCCAATAAGTACAGCCATCATATTTTGTCTTGACTGGGCCAGAATTGTGCCAAGATCTCCTCTAGCTTTTAATATCACTTTCACCCAATGGTCTCCCGTTCTTCAGAAACATTTGCAAACATGGGTTGTCACAATTGGCAGATGCTACTGGTAGCCAGTGGATAGAAGTCAGAGATGCTGCTGACAATGTACAGTTCTTAGTCCCTAGGACAAAGAACTATAGAGCCAGAAATGTCAATGGAGCCAAGGTTCAAACACCCTGCTCACCATTTGTCTGCCTTATAATTTGTCAAGGACCTTCCAAATTCTTCCAGAAATATTGTCTATGGGAAATTTGTCACTATAGCATCTTCTAGGAGGAGGGAATACACTATTAACTGAGTCTGATGGGAAGTTGGGATCTTGGAAATGACTTCAGATGGTTAATCGGGGACAGACTCCAGCTCTCTGGGGGGCTACCCCAGCGCTCTCTTGGTGACATTAAGTTCCTAATCTGGAGTGAGTACACACAAAGGATCTGAACGGTGTCTCTGATTCATTTTTAGTCCAGTCCTTTGAAATCACAAGATAAATGCCTTTCCTTTCTGGCATCATCTGTTCTCTTTATCATCTTCACACTATTTTAAGAAGGTTGGTCCTTGCAGTTAGTGGATTTTTATGAAACCAAATGGCCATATTCAAGAACACTTCCCTAAATAGGAGGTGACTTAGTTTGCATTCTATTAAAGTGAAGGAATTTCTCAGAAGAAATAAAATGAATATCAACTAAAGGTATATTACCTTTATTACCAACCCCACGATCAGGGAATGAGATGAAAGGTTTCAAACCAAAATGAAAGCGCACTACTCTCAACTCTAACTAGTCTTTAATATTTTGCCTCCAGCACAAAGCATTTTCACACTCACTATAATTTCTCTTGATAGAAAAATGGTTTTTTTCAAATCATAAGCAACTAACATGATATTAAACATCAGAGTTTTTATTAGGGAAAGGTATTTAGGTCTTTGCATTTTTCTAATCTTAGAACACACAAGACAGCTAAAATTTAATCCCATCAATAGCTCCGTAAACAATAGATTTAAAAAGACCTCCTAATACAAAATTTCTACTTTTTCACATAATATGACCCCTTCAGACAACTTTGATGTAGACTCACAGTCACTGGGCAAACATAGAATCCTTCAAATAACTTGAAACGACATTTTCTCTCTGGAGAGCAATTTCCCTTTCTAATCATGTACATCAGGTAGGCTGGAGTAAGCGTAAGAAACAGAGACGACCTCCCAAGAGATGGGAATACCCTTTCATTTGGCACAATTCTAACTACTTGTTTAATAGTGGTAATCATTTTCTTTCAGAACAAATCAAAGAAATTTCAGTTTTATGTTTCCCAAAGACATTTGGATGAATCAAGTGGCCTCCAAAAATACCAGAGGCACTCCCACTTGGAATTGTTGGATTTAATCAAGATCCTAGTTTCTGCAATTATCTGATCCCTGGAGTCAATGGGAGTAGAAGTTTCCTCTGAATTTGAATATCACAATGATGTTTAATGGACTTAAAGAACAATCTACTTAAGCAGAAAATCAAAAAAAGCTTAACTTCGAAAAATTCAGGGCCCAACTTAGCAGGAAGCAATGTCCTTCAGGTGAACAGAAGAAAGGCAGGTCACTTAGAAGGTGCTGGAAATTAGGTCAGTAAGGAACTGAAACAAGCTCCCAGATCCATCTAGGTGTGGGGGTAGAACAGCTATGTCAAACAAGGATAATCCAGACAATTGGCACTTTACCTGGGCTTCCAAACTCAATCAAATGTTCTTGTTTTTCTAAAACTAATTTGTTAATAATATAGTTTAGTCAGATGGAAGGAAAAAAAAGATATAACTTCAACCCACAAAGTGTGAGAAAGTACTCACAGAACTACCTTCAATTCTCATGGAGATGTTTTTTGTAAATGTTTCTACACTAAGGTATTTCCTTCCCCATAGTAAGAATTAGAACAGAGAACATGAAGCTGATGTGCCTTCGGTGTTCAGGAAAGTAACACAAAAAGATGAAATGAATTTAGTGGAGACAGAGATGACTGGATGAGATCAGATTTTTGTATTGAACAAATGACCAGTGCTCAACTCCAGCCAACTGTATCTTTGCAGGAATGAGATTCTACATTCTCAATTTTTCAAGATAGAAATATGAACTTGTATATGAAAAAAATTCCTACTTTCTACGTACTAGTAACTAAATTTTTAAGCAATACCTTGCTGGCTAAACAAATCCTAGCTGCCTACCCAATTTCATTTACCAATTTGCAACCTCAATATGGAGAAGAAAATGAAAAATGGTTGATCAAACAGATGCTAGAAGGGTCACTACACTGAAGTTATTAGTGAATTCTTGGGTCTTCCTTAATTACAAAGAATTTTTTTCTGAAAGCATTATTGTACTTAAGGTTCCTGACTTACAACCTCAAGGCTGTTTAAGATCTCCAAAGAAATAAATTTAATGGGTCAAGGAAGCAATGATGTCTTTGAACATTCACTGGGAAGATGGTGAGAGCACCCTGTTTATAGATGTGAATTCTAAGCCATCTTGAGATTGCTAGAAGAGAAAATTCCAAGTACCAAGAAATTCAAAGCAAGGTTGTACAGCAGACCCTTGGTATCAACAGTCCCTGGTTTCAAGGAGACCACTGTTGAGGAAAACTGTGTATGCTTAGGGTGCTATATTTATTTTTCCTACAGTGGTGCCCAACTTCTGCTAAACACATGCTGCCTTTCAAGAAATCTCAAGTTCTCACTTGATCACTTCAGTTAAGACATTCACTTTGACCTTGCTTTTGGGGCACCGTTTGTTTTGGGGGAGGCAGATTTTCACAAAATTAAGGGCAGGAAAACAGAAGACCACACAATGATTTAGACACAATTGATGATAACAAGGGACTGACTGAGAACTTCTTGTGTCAACTGAGCTGCCTAAGGCACGTTGGGAATTAAAATTTTTTTGGTTTTGAACCTTCTTTTTATTTATGTATTTTTGATTGTACTTGGTTAAAACCATGAGTAATAAATCTGCAAGTAAGGTAGGCTTACTGTAAGTCAGTGAGAAAAGAAGAGGTGAGATAACGTAAAGAAACCAAGGTCTTCTCATCAACCCAGTAATATTTACAGCCTGTGGGTAGTGCCAAAATATTTCAGGAAATGTCAGTCTTTCTTTGGAAAGTCAAACTTTGTATTTAACCACAGTATATATCACTAGGAAGAAGGCAGATTCACACTTCCTCACTCTCCTTTATGAAGCCTGAATGTCCAGATTCATGGTCAAGTTCTATCTCCCCTTTCCCTGCCATAACTGATATTTCATTATCTAATGTTTCAAAGCCAACACTCTAGGAAGAGTTAGCAAGGGCAATACAGAATGAATCAGTCATGGATCACTAATGGGTCCATTTTGGTTCTCTTCCTCATTTCCCATGGAGACCTGTGATGTTTCCAACTCATCTAGTCCCAAACACTTATCTGAATCAGCAAAGACACCTCTTCCTTCTGCACCAGAATGCAGAAGCACCAGGAAGAAAACATTCAGAGCCCAAACATCAGTGCTCCCCCTTCAAGATGGGTACCTGTTCAGGCTTCAGCCCTGGCGGGACCCAGGCATACTCTTCCAAGGCACAGCCTGAGTCGTCGTCTGACGTGGAGTTCCTCTGGAAGTCAAACATGAGTTTGCTGATGGTTTTCTCCATCTCCAGTGGCATCACTGTCACCATGTGCTCCTCCTGGGGACACTTGCAGTGCAGGCAGATCTTCCTGCGGACAACAGACATGGCAGGTAAGAAGGAAGAAAAAAGAAACCATTTTTTCAAGAGCCTGCCAGGCACCAGCGCCTTGGATTCCAAACCATAAACACATTCCTTGGCAACCGTCTTCTGGCAGTACCATCTCAAGCTTTGATCCAGAGAACACCTGTGTTGGTAGAAGGTGTGGCACATACATGTGATAGGAAAATAGAGTGAAACATCAGGAGCCACAAGGTAAGCACGGTAAGCACGATTACACGTGGGCCCCAACCTTTTCTTCTAAACCCATATCTCAACAGGAATGGCAATAGAATTTTTTTTACTACACAGACAATGGATATGGTCCATGACCACAGCTTTTTTCTCTGTAATCAATTAAATATATATAATCTATACACTGACCAGAAATGCTATGAAATTTAGCAAACACTGACAGCATACTATCTTTATAAAAGGTTCCTAAGCCATGGTAAACAGAAGAAATGGTTTTAGAAAGAACTGAGGGCTAGATTTTCTTTTGGAAGGAAAGCAAACATACTTTCTCCCCACTAAACAAATCTAGCTGTAAGATCTCCTGAGAAAGACACTTTTACTTCCATTAGAGGTCCCTGGTTGTAAATTTTAATTAGAAACCCAAATTTCCCCCATGTTGGTAATTTTTGTTATACCCAGAAGATCATGCATCTGAATTATTTCGCAAGGTAGCAGCCAAACATAAAAATCTCTCCCCCAAACTCAACATTTCTGTTTTAAGGTTACCATCTGTTCCCCTATCCATAGTGACAGAAATGATGAAGCAACAAAAATGTTGATGTCAGCAACACAAAAGTATTTCTAGCTTCCATCAATAAAAGAGCAGAATGAAGAAGGGAAAATGTAAGAAAATAAGCTATTCTGATCTTCATTGTTAGTTTTGGTAGCATTTTATTAAGGCAGTTAAAGAGCTTAAAATTCTAATTTCTACATGCACCTGAGGTTTTTTTTTGACAATTTTTATATATATTTAACATATACAATTTTGTTAATGTATAATTCACAGCGTGGTGGGGTGGCTTATGCCTGTAATTCCAGCTACTCAAGAGGTAGACATTGGGAGTATTGCAGCTTGAGGCCAGCCTGGGGAGAAAGTAAGTTAGTGAGACCACATTTCAATCAATAAACTGGCATGGTGACACGTTCCTGTTATCCCAAAGGAGGCCACAGGTAGGAGGATTGCAGTCTGAGGCCAGTCCTGGGCAAAAACTCAAGACCCTACCTGAAAAAAATAACTAAAGCAAAAAAGGACTGGAGATGTGGCTGAAGGTACAGCACTTGCTTAACAAGCATGAGACCCTGATTTCAAACTCCAGTATTGCCCGCCCCCCGCCCCCACAAAACAACCCTTTTAAAGTGTACAGATCACTAGGTCTTAATATTTTCAGAGTTGCACAATCACTGTCTCTAATATTAGACACCTCCCTGTAAAAACTATATGAGTATTAACGGTAACATTCCATCCCTACTTCCATACCCTGACAACCAATGACCTTCTCTTTGCTTCTATTGTTTCGCATATTTGGGGCACGGAACTTTTCGATAAGTATTCTCTCGAAGCTGGCTACTTCCACATATAATGAGATCAAAGTTAATCCATGGTTAGCATGTATCAGTCTTTCATTCCCTTGTAACATTCCATTGTATGGGTACACCACATTTTTATATTCATCAGTTAGTGAACATCTGGATTCTCCACTTTTGTGAATTATTCTGCTCTGAATATTGAAGTACAAGTTTTTGTGTGGATATATTTTTATTTCTCTTGGGTATATATCCAGGAATGGGTATATTGCTGGGCCATATGGTATGGCAACTCTGTTTACTATTTTAAGGGACTGCCAAACAATAATCCAAAGAAACTGTTAAAACACTGTACACTATGACCATCAACCAATGAGCGTTCCATTTTCTCTACATCCTTGCTACACTTGTTTTGTCTGTCTTTTTGGCTGTAGTGAATGGGTGTGAAGAGGTATCTAACTGTGGTTTTGATTTGCATTTCTCTAATGTATTTGAAGTTGAAGATCATCTTTCTTTTTTTTTGTTGGTACTGGGGTTGAACTCAGGGCCTTATGCTTGCTAGGCAGGCACTCTTCCACTTGAGCCACTCCACCAGTTCTTTTTTGCACTGGTATTTTTGAGATAGGCTCTCTCAAACTATTTGCATGGGCTGGCTTTGAACCACAGTCCTCCTGATCTCTGCCTCCTGAGTAGCTAGGGTTACAGGCGTGAGCCACTGGTGCCTGGCTATGAAGTTGAGCACTTTTTCATGTGCTTATTACATATCTTCTTCAGAAAAATGTCTATTCAAATCTTTATTTTTTCATTGGATTATTGGGCTTTATGTTGGTAAACTGTATTGTATATTTTCTGGATAGAAGCCCTTTATCAGAAATGGGATTTGAAAAAATTTCCCTCCCATTCTGTGGGTTCTCTTTTACTTTCTGAATGCTGGTTGTTAAGGCACAAAAGTCTTTAATTTCAATGAAATCCAGTTCATTTTTTCTCTTGTTGCTTGAACTTTTGATAGCATATCTCAGGAACAACTCTTTAACCCATGGTTATAAAGACTTAACTCTAATCTAAAAACGTTACACTTTTAGCTCTTCCATTTAGGTCAAGATCCATTTTGAGTTAATTTTTCATGTGGTATGAGGGAGGATCTAACTTCATTCTCATGTGGCTGTCCAGTTGCCTTAGCACCAGTCTTTCTCCTGTGAACTCTCTTGGTACCTGTGTCAAGAATCAATTGGCCTTAGTGCAAGGGGTTATTTCTAGACTATTAATTCGGTTCCATTGATTTCTATGTCCCATGCCACATGGGTTCCACACTGTCTTGATTACTGCAGTTTTGTAGCAAGGTTTGAAATCTTTAAATAGGAGTCCTACAATTTTGTTCTGCTTTTAAAAAGTTGTTCTGGCTCCACTGGGTCACTTGCACTGGCATTTATAAAATATGAATTTTAGGGTTAGTTTGCCAACTTCTGCAGAAATGTCAGCTGGGAATTTGATGGGGACTGCATTGAATCTTGAGATCAATTTGGGGATTACTGCCATCTTAACAATATTAAATCTTCCAAACTATGAACACAGGATATTTCTCCATTTAATTTCCTCCCATGATATTTTGTGGGTTTTAGGCACAAGTCTTGCACTTTTTTTAAGTTTATTCCTATGTTTTTAAACTCTTTTTGATGATATTTTATTGTAATTGCTACCTAGAACCAGATAGGATTTTTTAAAACACTGTTGTCTCATACAATCCTGATGACTAGTTCTAACAGTGTATGTTCTTTAGGATTTTGTATGATAACTAGTTCTAACAGTGTATGTTCTTTAGGATTTTGTACGTACAAAGTCATGTCATGTGTGAAAAGAGATAGTTGTCATCTTCCTTTCCATTCTGGCATCTTTTATTTCTTTGTCTTGTCTCATTACCCTAGCTAGAACCAGCTATACAATTTCAGTAGAAATACAGAGTGGACACTATCTTTTACTATGAGTCTTATGTTAGCTTTGGAGGTTTTTGTTTGTTTTGTAGATGTCTTTCATCAGCACAAGGAAGGTCCTTTGCTTGCTAGTTTGCTGAGTGTTACCAAGAAAAAAGTGTTAGACTGGAGGTGTGGCTTAAGTGGTAGAGTGTTTGCTTTGCATGCAAGAAGCCCTGAGTTCAAACCCCAGTCCCATCAAAAAAAAAAGAGAGTTAGATTTTGTCAGATGTGTTTTCTGTATATGTTGAGACGACCAGTTGTTTTTGGTCCTTATTTTATGACGTCTTATTCCTGAATTTTGACACAAAAATGGACTTGAAGAAGCAGAATTAGTTTTGCTCAGCTAAGTTAGGCCCAACAGAATCTCCCACTTCCTGCTTTTCATCACAGACAGAATGCACGCCTCAGGTCTGGTTAGCATCTCTGAGCTCAAAGTTCTATCCAAACCCTGGATGGTGGTTTTTAAAAAGTAGTCAGAGCTCATTTGAACAGTATCTTTTTAATTAATCAGTTACTGTTAAGAGGTCAAGGTTGTTGGGAAGCAGTCAGAATTTTTTTCCTCCAGAAATTTTTTTAATGCCAGTTTATGACTTTAGGTGCAAAAGAAGTTTCAGTGTGTTTAAGCAAATTTAATAAGTTCTTTGGTGACTAATTCATTTGTACTAGAAAACCATACTTTAAAAGCAAAATGTAAAATTTTTTTTTAAATCAAATTCAGTCCCTGGAATGCCTCTCAATGAACTCATTTATTCAGCAATGCAGAGAGAACAGAATATTTAATCCTGGATGGCCGTGATCTAATGAATAGAAACTCTGGGAGAAGGAAAAAAAAATCAAGAAGAAAGCAAAAGACAGAGGTACTGAACCATATAAACCCACAAGGACTCTCAATGAGGAGATGAGGAGCGGGCTCAGGGCTCTATTTGGTTATTGATCAAATAATCAGCAAACATCTACCAGTGCTGGGACAGCTCTGAGAACTTGGGGTACCAAACTAGAACAAGGATCCTTGCCTCATGGCACTCTGTTCTCAGAGTGAGAAACACACAATAGTATATTAAAGGTGGCAAGTGCTATGAGAAATAAGAAAGTGATGCTGCTTGGGGTGGGTTTAGGGGATCTGGAAAGGACAGGGGAATACTCTGAGCTGTACGCACAGCATTTGGCTTCCTTTTTGCTTTACACACATGACCCAGACTCACCCATCAGTCCTCCAAGAAAGGAGTATCATCTCCACTTTTCAGAAGGAAAGGCTCAAAGTAGTTAAGCAACTTGTTCAAAGGAAATCCTAAATAGTGAGTCAAAGTAGGCTCTCAATGAAAGAAAACATTGCTTAGAGAAAACATACCTGATTCCACCCGTGGTCTGTCCTTTTAGTTCCCAGGAAAAGCAAAATCAAGGAGAAAAAAGGAAAGAAAACAAAAGCAGCAAATCAAAACCACAAGGGCCTTATCTATCTTCCCTGCTAGCTGCCTGCCTTTTT